AAGTTTGAGTTGTGATTTCATCCATAAAGCTAACCCACAAATCCAACCTACAGACCAAAGTATGTATATATTATATATGCCTTGGATAGCACTGAGTTCATTCTTCACTTCTGTTTATAACAGCCATAACACAAAATACCTGATATTATCAGTGTAAATAATTTGTGGCTTGTAATAATGTTGGAGTTTCCAACCTTTACTCTTCTATCACCAATTGGCATAACTTCATGGCACTGAGTTGAAATTTGAAGGCTCACTCAATATCTGCATGTGCAGCTGTTTAATGCATAAGAATTAACTGTGCTGTTCATACCCAGGTCTTCAATTTTGCTTATGTGAGACCTGGTACCTCCCCACACCTCCACAAAAGGCCAGCAACATGTGGGCCTGTTACTATCCTGTGTATAAATGGCTGCTGCTGATTAAACTATTGGTATTTAAGAATATTTGATTAGAAGGATTGTTTTCTGACAGGCAATCATTTCAAAATAGAAAAATATTTAAGCTACAACTGGAACCAAAAAAAAAAAAAAAAATCCTATCTATTCTATTTAGAGCTTTTCAGGGTAAAGCAGTTACTTTAAATTCTTAGTGAAGAAAGCCTAACATTATTTTCTTTAGAGCCCACAAATAAACTTGTGTAATTTCACTGTTTTAAATACAGTTCTCTTCTCTCTGCAACCTATTAGCAAAAGTAATTTTTGTTAATAATGAAATTGATTTGCAGACAAGAAGATGACACAACCATTCTTTTATTGCATGATGGATAAAAGTGTTTTTTTTTTTTAAATTTTTTTTTTTTTTTTTTTAAATAAAATATGCAACAGTGTTATCTTACTTTTATGTACACCTGATGGCATTGCTGCCATTCATAAAGTAACATACAGGTATTTATATTCAATTTAAAAAAAAGAAAAAAAAAAAAGTAAAGAAATAGAGACCCAGGAACTGAATGAATACAAGAGATTTAAAACAGAAGAAATAATGAAATTTACAACTGTTTAAAAATATTTTTTTAAAAATAATTTTGTTTTTTGGATCAGAAAATGTAAAGTAGTAATGATGATATACAAGAAAACTGGACAAACTCTCAGAAGGTTTGGATAAAAACAATTCTATCAAATTAAGTCAGACAACAATAAAAAAAAAAAAAAACGCAATTTGAATAAATGTCAATCATGTAAAAGTTTGATTTGGTTTTAATGTAAGTTTATAATTATACAGCTACATATCATTTAAAAGAAATGCTTAAAAACATCAGACAAAGTTATAAATTTTATCTTGGAAACTGAATTAGATATTCAAATATCTAAGGTCTTATTTTCAGACAATTTCTTAGTGCTAACATACCACATATATATGTGTATGTATGTGTGACAAAGTCTTCAATTTTTAGAAGTCTTATTAAAAATTATCTTCAGAATTAAGATTTTGTAATTTGCTTGAAAAAAACTGGTAAATATCAAAATAAAATTACTAATTTGTGATTAAATATCAATATTTTAATATTCCAAAATGCTAAAATGGAAACTTGTCACAAGCAACATTCACAATGTTTCTTGTTCATTGTCTTCTGTCAATAACTGAGGATGGTTGTTTGCTCAATCATTGATGAAACTAAACTTTACATATTTTATTATAAGCAATAGTATTTATTGTAGGGAAGTAAAAAAAAACATGTTTGACGCTAGGTGTTACTGTGTGCAAATTTTAACTTCAATATCTTAGTTAAAAAGCTACAAAGTAGTGACAAAGCCTATTTTAATAGATCAAATCATTTCAAATTGAAAAATACCGAGTTACGTTGATAGCACACCAAAAGTTTATCAATTTACATGGATTTGTTACATATTAAATAAAGAGAATGTTGTTATTGCTTTGATATACAGAAGACAAAAATGAGAGAGCATGACAGAATTTTTGTTAATTTTTAAGTAATTTCCCAGATATAAAAGAAAGAATTAGAAAACCAGAAATGGGAACACTGTAGCATGAAGAAGAATTAAATTGTTATTAGGGATTTTTATTAACAGTACAGATTATGCATACATAATTGGGAGGATGATAAAGAATATATATGCAAAGATGTAGCGATTGACAGAGAATAGAAGAATAGGATAATCTTTTATATATGACCACATTATTTCTTGGATCAGTTGAAGCATTTACCTTTAAGATATTTGTAATAATTCTGCCAGCAATAGCATTTACACAACCGTATTTATTTGAAAAATGAGGTAGAAGAAAACTGAATGTGATAACAGCAGTTTTAATTAGAGCATCAATTAAAGAGAGACTTTAGTAAAAGAATGGGGGCTTATGTCTGCTTTAAAATCAGAACAGTTCCATTTCAAAATTTTCAGCATAAAATATAATTGACATTTTTCCTTTTTTTTTCATCTTATATGGGAAAAGTTGATGTGTTCTTCAGAATTTACTTTTTGACCGGGGGTGGGGGTTGACATTGTTGTTGGGAAGGACAATGCTCACAATCTGCCCAACGACATTTAAACAAAATATAAACTAAGAACTATAAACACAATGGATTAAGGAAAAGAAAGATCATCTTTGTTTTCAAAGTTTTCAAATGAGTAGTAAAAATAAATGTGTACTCTTTTAATAATTTCATTCCGTTGGATATAAGGACAGACAATCAAATTGTGGAAGAACAAAAAGAAAAAAATAATCTAAAGTAGTTTAAAATGGAAGAGAGATTTTCAGCATAACAACATTTTAGAAGAGAGATACACAAGTACCCAGCATCCCACTGACCCACAACATCTTCAGTGAGGGGAGGGAAGGGGGGGATTCTACACACAAAGTTTTTTGAATTTAAATTTTTCCTCAATTTTTACTTCAATTACAATTAGTGAAATAGAATAAAACGTGTATTTAAAAAAAATAAACAAATGATAAAAATATACAAAAGAAAATATACATTGAAAAATAATTGAAAATGAAACAGCCAATGCTATAAAAAAAAAAAAATAACAGGTCAGTCCATAGTGTTATCATTGTTGCTGTGTTCCCAAATTATGAGTGGACCATGGAACTGAGAAGCAGCACAGAGAGATTTCCATGATGTGAACCAGTGCCACCTGGTGGATGTTCCATAGAACAAGGGGAGATAAGCAGGCATGAAACGAAGCACAACTGAATAAATAGATAAGTCGTCGGCATCATTCTGGAAATCAGCACTGGTTTGTGGATCGGACGGCTCAAATGGAAACTTGCAGAATTACGCCTACTGAAAGCAAGAAGGGCTTGTAACAGTTGACAGACTAGCTGTGAGCAGAAGGTGGTAGGAGAGGTTGGGAATCAGGGTAGGAAAATGGCAGTTATCAGGGAGGGAGAGGAAACATGCACACATGATTGAGAAAGAGAGAGAAGACATAAAAATAAGAGAAACAGAGAACATTTTTTTTTATTATTTAATTTGATTATAATAACTTTTCCTTTATAGAAATTTTTCTAAAAATCCAAGTTGTTCAATAAGTAAATAGCCAGAAATGAAAATAATATTATTGGAGAGTGTTCACAGACAGAATATTCCTGCAAAATTGTGAAGAGTTTGAGTGAGGAGGACAAGAAGGGAAAAAAATTAGTAATAAAAGGCTGGCTTTTAGATAGTTTAGACAAAAAAAGCACAAATGGTGGTGTCTGAGGGTCAACACTGGAGTGATGATTTTGAGTAGCTGACCCAAGGTGTAGAAGGGAGGTTGGAGACAGACACACATAAAAGATCATCTTCAAGTATTTTGCAATGATACAAAGGACTGAAAGTCCTAATTAAAAGGAAGGGAAAAAGTGAGAAAAGGGTATCGCTGTCAGCATTCAGAAGCTTTGTTAGCAGAAATAAGCATTGCCAAGAATATTGAACAAAAACTGTCCAAATTAAAAAAAAAAGAAACAAAAAAATACTTACTGAAGATATTTTTCTTGCTATCACCAGGTAAGTTAAAAAAACAAAACAATGGTTCCTTCCTCAAACCCTAACTCATAATCAAGAGAAAAAACAGCCCTAAAACAGGCTTTGGTAAGATCATCATTATTGCAATGTTTGTGTTTTTCTTTCTTTTTCTTTGTAAAAAAAAAAAAATCATTTCATTATCAATATTTTAAAAAATAGCTGTTAATGTTGCCACAATAACGTTGGAATATTTTGCATGAAACAAAGAAATTTGAAGAGACAGCAGCAAACAAAAATGTTTGACAAAAAAGATCCAGCAGTTGACATAGTTTGATGTAACCTTCCCCCCCTTTTTTGTGGGAAATATTTGTTTAACTAATGAAAAAGGGAGGAGGTGGTGAAACAGAAGAGGGGGGAAATAAAAGAAAAAAAAAAAAGAAGTAGAGATAAAAAAGAAAACCAAACAACAAAAAAACAAAACCAAAACAACAAATAAAACAGTGAAGTTGTTTTGTTAATGTTATCTTTTCATCCACTGTGTGTATGGGGTTTTTGTATTCAAGAATATATATACTTTTTTTTGTTTTTCTTATCTAAACAGAAAATCTATTGAATTGAGTTTCAGTCTTTTCCTTATTATAGCTTTAGTTAAAAAAAATATATATATATATATATATATATATATATATATATAAGCTGCTTGACTTTTGAGTTTTGTTTTATTGTTGTAAGACGTTTCTGCTGCTGCAGCAGCAGCAGCTCTGTGACTGTCTATGTACAGTGGTTATCTATATCACATGTGTAATTCACTCATGCAGCATGGCAATATAACATAAGCAAGCAAACAGTAGTGAAACCCTGAATCTCACATAAATACAGGAGGAACAGCAGCAGCAGCAGCAAAAGAATGAAAGGGCTGTAGGGAAAGGAGGAAAAGGGGAGCAAAAAGATGGTGGCCAAGTATGTGTGTCTGGTTGTAAGACAAGAGTTGTAGATCCAGGGTAAGCCTACTGAGCCAATAGCGCAGAACAGATACCACTACAAGCCCTACTATATTTTGTTCTTCTACACTTTGATGGTACAGTGAATATCAGAGCCAGCCCCAAGGTGAACCTGGAAAGGAGAAGAAGATGACGAAGGGTCAATGAAATGGAGGAATAAATTTTAAAAAAAAAAAAAAAAATTAAAAAAAAATGATGCAACAAAGATAAATATAGTAGGAGAAATATTTTTGATTTTTGCCATATTGCAAAAATAACATTAAAAATATTTGACAATAAATATTTCTAAAGAATAGCATAATACAGACTTCCATGTCACAACACAGAAATATAGTTTATTTTACATTGCACCAGTAACGGTAGAGCTTTTTAGACATCAAAATGCAAATTTAATCGGGATTAATAGTCTCTGTTAATGTTAGAATTTTGATACTGGAGCAGGTGGGCATAAAATTTAGTAAATACAAAATGTCATTTTGAAATTTTTTGTAACTTTTGATATGTCAGAAAAAAGCAGATGCACAAGATCTTACCTTATGGTAACATAATTAGTATTTTTACTAGTATGTTTTTTAGCCAACAGATACTATAAAGTAGAGAACTTATGAGATTATTTTGAGACTGCTGGAGTCATCACAAGAAAGAGTAATGATAAAGAAGATGGAGTAATTATCATAATGGTGAAAAAATGGTATTTAAAATGGTAACTTTGACCAAAAAGAGCATAAACAGAATTTGGTAGGGAGGATGGCAATTTTTTGTGATTAATAATGTTCATATGCATACACTGGATATATAAAGTCTGTCAGGAATAGAGTAATGATGATATTGCTTGAAGATAGACAAACTTAATACATCCAGTGTATGCATATGTACATTATTAATCTTAAAAATTGCTATCTATAGCTTAACCTCAAAGTTTAAAGTTTATATATATATATATATATATATATATATGTATGTTGTATCAAAAACACTCTTACAAACTTTAGGTGCAGGTTCTTCACACCAAAACAAGGACAAAATACATATAAACATACGTCTGCAAATTCTTAGTGTTTTAAGTTATTAAGTTTAAAAAAAATTTACATTAATGGTGCTATGTTTACACAACCAACATTTGTGGGTGCATCAGAATCTCCATGGTACAATATGGGCCAGCACCAGTTTACGATTAATGTGTGGGCTGAAATTGTAGGTGACTGTCTGGTAGGTCCATATATTCTCCCAGCATATCTTACAGGAGCTGTCTACAGGGACTTTATTTCAAACACACTTCCAGATCTGCTAATACAAAGATGCTTATGGTTCATGCATGATGGGACTCCAGCACATTTTAGTCACATTGTTCGTGATGCCCTGGCTGACATCTACCAAGAAAGATGGAAAGGTAGGGGAGGACCGGTTCTATGGCCTGCACATTCCTCTGACATCAATCCTTTTGATTTTTATCTATGGAGCTACCTAAAACAATTGGTTTATACAGCAGACATTAATAATGCAGAGATGCTTCATCAATGTGTCATGGGGGCCAGCAAAATCATTCAACACTGTGTGGGAGTATTTGAAAGGGTCCCCACCAGTTAATGATCCTACGGTACATGTGTGTGTAGAAGCAAGTGAAGGACATTTATAAATATATGTTTTTATGGACATTTTACCTTGTTTTGATGTCAAGAACCTGCCCCCAAAATTTGAGAAAATGTGTGCGTGTGTGTGTGTATATATATATATATATATATATATATATATATATATAAATAAAAAAAAGATTATCAATTTAAGAGCATATACGGAAGGAGAAAGCCTTTCTGCAATATGGCAAGAAATAATTAGGCATAGACCACACAAACAAACCTGAAAATTATAATCAAAGTTTTCCTGAAGAATAAACAATAAAAGCACAAAAAATAATTTGTAAAAAAACAAAAAACAAACAAACAGAAAATGGTACATTGTATCCAAAAACTTCAGATTTTGGACTGATATTATTTTCAATTTAAATATATTTATTTATTAAATGAAAAGTATTTACTGAAAAAATATGGAGCAAAACTAAAAAGGAACTTTAAACTTGTCAAGGAAACAGTGAGAAATAAAACATCTCAATCTATTTAAAAATCTATTATTTCTTTAAAGCAGTTATGTTTTCCAGAAGAAAGATATGACATTTAATTAAAAATGACAGGCAATAAAATGTTAAAACATGTTGGCTAAGAAGCAAAAATAAATTTTGGAAAATATTCACATGGCTATATTAAAAACAAATGAAATATAAATGTTCAAAGCCTGTTTACATAGATGAAAAAGAAGAACAGATTGTGGCCATTGTTAAAATGGTAGAAGATCATGTCCAGGTAATTCAAGATAAAACCATGAAAAAAGAAAGTACTTTGCAGTGCCACCTGGTGGTTGCTAATAGAAAAAGCATAGAATATTTACAAGAAAGAAGGTTAAGATCTTTTCAAAACACTAAAAATAAAATTCACAAAACAACTATTTTAGCATGATAATTTTGCAATTGATATACACCACACGTGTATTGCACATTTTACAAAAAAAAAACATGAATTCTGTGAGTGGTGCTTTGTTCTTGGTTTGAAATGAGAATGTTTCTTCATTGAAAATAAAAGTGATTATCACTGTTACAGTGCATTTCTTGTCTTATTGAATTTTAATATATGGAAAAATATTTGTGAATATGAAAGGATTAAATAAGCAGACAATGTTTGTAATTTATTCAATCAGGCATGCCTAAAAAAATTTGCTGCCTAAATACAGACATACATATAAGAGAGAGAGGGGCACGGTGGAGTAATGGATAGCGGCTTGGATTGAGGAATCAGAGAGCCGAGTTCGAATTCCAGTTAAATCCATTACATTCACTTACATGCTAATACCCTTGGGGAAAGGCATGAATCCTCTTCTCCCCCCAGCTATGGGTAAATAGCAGGCCAGACCAGGTTCTATATCCTTGGATGGCAACTGGTCTACTGCAGAAAGAAATGGCAACCTAATGCGGGGAAAAAAATCTGCCTTGTCAGTCATCTATCGAAAGATACATGATTGGCTAAGCATGTATCATGCATGGCACATAACTGACTGATATGAGAGAAGTATTGGTATCTTTTATTTTGGTGTGAATGTCTTGTGCATTTTAACAAATTTACAAAAAAATAAAAAGTCTCCTTCATAACATTATTTATACAATATATACATATTGGAGAGGAACAGCATTTATTTGTACATCTTAAATTAATTTTATAATATTTTTTATTGCCTCATTTTAATATAAATGATGTCACAACAAAGTTGAATGTAATTAGTATTCAATTGTATTTCAAACAGAGCTGATTATGGATTAAACGGGGATTTATCCTAATAAAATGTTAAATTTAATTTGTATAAAAGGATAATACTATTATTACCTATTAAGTAAGACAACCATTTTTTATGTCCAAAATTGCTGGGTTACATATTCAAATGTAGAGAAATTGTATGAGAGAAAGCTTAATTTAAAATTATTATTTTTGTCCACAGTGGCAATATGATCATATTTTACTTTTGTTCTCCATTATGTATAAAGAATAGGCACATCAAAATAGAAGGGTGATCCATTGAGGAATAAAGAATCAGACAATAGATCTGAAAGAGAGACTTTCCAAAAGCAAATTCAAAATAACTGGAACATGAATTGAGAAATAGTTTGACAAAGAAAAGGAGGCATTAAAAAAATCATTAAAAGCACATAACAAAATAACAAAATGGAGAATAGATTAATTCAAACAATGCAATTATTTCCAAAGATGTTTGGTCAATCTAAGAATTTGAGCTTTTTATTAATTTTCAATATTTGGAGATTTAGGATTTTTTTTCCAGCCAAAAGCAAGTAACACCAACTTTTGAACCACAAAAAAAGTTTTTGCTTTCTTTCAGAGTAAATGATAAAAACCATATGTAGTCAAAAGGCATATTTAATAGAACAATTGAAAATAATTATTTTGAAATATAAAAATATTTTATTTAAGTCAGGTGTCTTATAAAAAATAAAAAAAAAGAAAATATTTCTACTTATGTTCAAGAGTTCTCAGGATGATTACTGGAAATGATCTTGGAGATAAAAATTTAAAGGCTTTTTAATAATTTAAATTTAAGTACATTTCAGATAAAATAGTAAATGACCCATAACAATCAAATTCATAATATTATATATATATATATATATATATATATATGAATATGAATTAGTTTAAATGATGATGGCTACAATCCAATAATGAAACCTGCTAATCTGTTAAAGCATGTAACATTACTTTCTTTTGATTGTAATGATCTTTTGTACATTCACTGTTGCAATGTCATCTTGAATTGGAGGGAGTCATAATATCAATGCATATCAATGGTTAGGAAACAAGAAACATTTAATATTGATGAAAATAATTTAAGAAAACTAATAGTCAAACATCTGCATGTAAAATAATGAAATTCACTAAAGTTATGTATTATAAGAAATGATAGGAATTCAAAATTAAACTCTTGATTAGATATTCCTCTGATTTTCTTTGTTATTTTCATATTTATGCATAAAAATGAAACTGGGTTAAAAAAAAAAAAAAAAGAAAAGAAAACAAAAGTGTGATTAACCAATAAAAATACCAGTCTAAATGTTAAAGCATTAAAAACAAAATTTTCAAATTAGTGATCTTAAAAGTTTGTTAAAAACAAAGAGCAAATGAAGTGTCAGTGGAAATAAAGCTTTTTTTAAAAAAAATAAAAGTGTATATTCATTGAATCAACAATATGATGATCAACAAATATAAAGTGAAATTAAAGAGAGAGAGAGAGAGGGTGAGTGGGTAAATGCAACGGGTTTAGTTCAAAACCATTACCAAATGGATTAGTGAATATAAAAAACAAAACAAAAACAGCTTAGAAGATCTAAGCAAAGTATTGACAACATTTAAAGTTGATTGTACAATATTACATGCAGTAGGCAGCAAACAGTTTGTGATATTGCAGTGTTTGTTACTCTTGAGATGATGGTATGCCCTGTTAGTTCTTTGATGATGTTAGCTTCAACATTAACCATGTGAACTAATTCAGTAGTAGACA